GACCTGTTGGATCGTATTCTCTGTGAGCTCTCTACCAAGGATTCCGTGCGCGCAAGCTTTTTGTCAAAGCAGTGGAGAAACCAATGGTTGAGTGTTCCTGTTTTGGACTTGGATTCCAGAAATTTCGAAGATGAGTACGATCTTTTTGATTTCATGAATAGATTCATGGAGTCTAATAAGGGAGACATAAAGAGGTTCAAGTTGACATATGATGCTGGTGATCATTGTCATGATTCGTTCGTTTCACAGATTGATGATGTGCTTAATCGTAGTGTTTGCCATCTAATGGTTGTGAATCAGACAGATATTGATGAAGCTCTAGTTAGGATGCCTCTATCCCTTTATTCATGTGGGACATTGATGAGTTTAACACTCTATTATGTTGCCTTTGATGCTCCCACATCAGAAGAGGTGGTATCTTTACCATCTCTCAAGACTATGCATTTAGAAGAGGTCAAGTATGATGGAGATTCGGTTTTGGGGACGTTAATATCAGGTTGTTTAGCTCTTGAAGAGTTGATTTTAGTGACATGTCCTGAAGATAATCTTGAAGTTGTGTGTGTGAGGTCTGAGTCACTTAAAAGCTTCAAACTAGGCACTACACGTGATGGAGCTGAAGATCCTAATGTGGAGATCGATTCTCCTAAACTTGAGTACATGAGTATACGTGATTACACATGTAAAAGTTTCGTTATACATCGTATTGGTCCATTTGCGAAGGTGAACATTGATAAGTTTGGTGCGGTGCATGCTGATAATCCATTGGAGAGAACTTTGTTCCATGGTTTTCTCACTGGGATATCCACAGTCCGTGAAATGATCATCTCAGCTCGAGCTCTAGATGTACGTAAGATTATTTCAATAATTTCAACCTCGTTCAATTTCTTATATCACTTTTTCTTCTTCGTTCTTAATACACACAGGACGTCCGTATTTACTCTAAGTTCGAACCATTGCCTCTGTTTGATAACTTGTCTCGCTTGGATGTTTCTTTTGCTGAACATAATTTGGAGTTGTTGCCAACCTTTATTGGTTGCTGCCCAAATCTACAGTCCCTTAACATGGTGCGTCTCATTTTATCAATGCTTATGTGATCACATCGAGATTCATATCTATTCAAAGAAAACACTTAATTTTTTTTCTTTTGGTTGTATTGTCAGCAATTTGACTGCCCTCCAGAGACAAGGGAGATTAAACTTTCATATGTACCTCAATGTTTCTCATCCTCTCTTGAGTTTGTTCAGATGAAGACACCAGTCACAACCATAGGGCCAACAATCAAGATGAATCTGGCAGTATACTTTATCAGGAACTGTGCGGTATTGAAGAAGCTCGTGGTGAGTAAGAGTTTTATCAACATTATCAGCAAAATCAGAAAGATTCCAAAACCTTCTCAAGGATGTGAAGTTGTCATGCTAGAGCCTGAGGTTGTCTCTCAAAAGTCCAGCTTCGTATCAGGTTATGTACCACAAATTGATGATAGTGTACCAACTTAAGACAACATAGTTAGCTACTTAGCTAGTAACCAAGGTTTTTGGACACTGCTTTAGGTTTCGTAAGGTTTGACTCTGTATTCCCGTGATCTTTCTATGCTTTTTTGTTTCATCATGGGAGAACTCTGAAACGTTTAGCTCTCTTTCTGTTTTATGAATGTTATTCCATGCTCAATACTCTTTCTTGTTAATGTAAGTCTATATAGTTGGGTTTTCTATGAGCTTATTTTTGATGAGTATATTCACTAACTTTGAAGAGAAAATGTCAAATTATGGTGATTTATATTATATAATCATTCGAGTTACTCAGATTTAGTTATGTTCAGTCTAATTACTTAGTATAATTTTTCTTTTTGAATATGATTATTAAAGGTCACTGACAAGTAATTTCCCGGCCCAAATCGGCACTAGAGAGTGAAATTCAATTTTTGAAGCTTTCACAATGGCAATACAATGTGTATGTCCTTGGAGTTATATAGAACAAAAGAGATTGTAACACATTAGCGAACTTAATTAACAACTAATCAATGGATTTTGAGATTCACAACTGGATTCGTAATGCTCAATGCTCAATGGTGGAAATTATGATTTATAAAGGTTAAGTTTAAATGGCTATCTCAAGATTTTCTTTTGTTCTTCTACGAAATGATCTTTAAAGAACCAAGTAGTTTCATATAATTGACATTCAAAGACCATAATGATTCAAATCCCCTTTCCTTTGCGCTTACCCAAGAATATATAAGTCGGAATTCAATCATTTATACATCATACATGTCCCAAAATTTCGTATAAGATTATTTAACTAAAGTGCATCGATTATGGTGAAACTGTCCCATCGCCTCCAATAAGTTTAAGAATTAGTAACTACGACTTCTATATCTCTTTATTCATATTCACCAATCACCATCAAGAGAAAACAATTTTTCTTCTGCATCACGTTTTGTAGAAAGTTTTAAGTTTAAGCTTCCCCGAACTAATTCCTGATGAGATTGGATCTCTCTCCCTGGCCACTGGCTTCATCATCAAGAATGAAGATTTGACTGAGGGGAAGCCAACCATGGCCATGAACTAGCCCTGGCTCCAAGGTCTTGATTCTCAGGACTCGACTAGGAAGACGTTCGATTTTACAAGGCAGGAGATTGCAAGGATGATCATGTATCCTGCCGCTAACTCTACCTTGAGGAGCAAGAAAGGGATTGTCATTGGAGTGGCCAGAGTACGTCGAATGAAATGTATGATATTGTCAACGACGACCTCATTTTTGTGGAGATGGACAAAGCGAAAGCGACGGTGATCGAAGATGGAGAAACCATAGTGAGCGACGTGGACTCATAGTGACCGACCTGACTGAAACCGAAAATAAGGTGATTCAATCATTCAAAGGCTGCACTTACTTACGCATGGACCTCTCACCACTACAGTGACTAGTCAAAGAACAATTTGCCGCCTGTGAGAGGCAGAGGCTATTCTTGACTAGTTGTGATCAATCAAGAAATCATCTGACGAATCCAAGTCAAGTGGGAGGCTCTTGATGAGATGCTGTCAAAGTGAAAGGCGTGGTTCTTTTTGTTTTCGCAGTCGCATAACCGACTTGGGATAACTGAAATTAGGGTTTTCAATCAGAGCATTTGGGGGAAATTAGTTTAATGAGGAGCACGTGAGAGTAGCATGTGTTAACTACAATCCCTTATGTCCCGATCTTTAATTTATCTCACATCGGATAATTAGTACTCGAAACACTAGTATATATACCGAAACACTAGTATATATACCGTTGATGAATATGCTAAGGTTAACAACTTGTGGGACATGGTGACTTGAGGCTATACGGTTTACTTAACCAAGAGCTCTAAATGATCCCAAACCAGTCCATACTCCTTCTGGCAAAGGGTCTTAGGGGTAAACTTGTCTCTCGACAAGTCCGTTAGTAGTTGTATGATCCTATGAGTGCTACTTTTTATGTTCTGTGTGGGCGCGGATTAGATATCCAGAAATTTTTTGGTATTTGTGATTTGCTCCATTTTTAATGGATGTTTAATTTTATGATTTGATTTGTTCCAGAAATATATGGATATCCGGATTTTAGGATATCCGGCAAAATTTATAAGTATTTGCGAATATGTACGGATATTTATGAATATTTAGTTTGATCCGTTTAATATACACAAAACTGAAAGTACATCAATTTTTATTATAAAAAGATATTTTTCATCTAAACTATTAAGTGAAAATAATTAAAAGAAAACATTTTATTTTACAAAAAATCTATAAAAAATAAACCTATAAAATTAAGATGAGGAAAAAATAATATTTTATATTTAAAAATAATATTAACTAATTGAAACTTTAATATTAAACTTTACTAAAAAAACTTTTGTTGATATTTATTAATTAATATAAATAAAAAATTTATTTATTAACATATTATAAGTTTAAACATATTATTTATTTTTTATAATTAGTTATTTAGTCATTTATTTTATATAATCAAAAGAATTTAGAAACAATTAAAAATTTAGGAAGAAAATTGAGAGTATATTAATAAAAATTTATAATATAACTGATATATACATGATAATATATACTAATATATAATAAATTTATAAAGATATGGATTGGATCGGATATCCGACGTTGTCTAAAAACATATTTGTGATTTGTTCCGTTTTTTACGGATGCTACATTTTGCTATTTGCTTTGCTCCGAAGCTTTACGGATATCCGGATTTTTCGAATCAGATCAAAGCAAATATCGATTCGAAGCGGATATAACGGATATTTTGCCCACCCCTAGCCACAAGGAAGAATGTTCGGATAATTCTCTTTATTCATCCTTAACCGGAGTTGTGCAATCATCAAATCAAAACGGAGCAGCAGTATTTGACATCGGAACAAAAAAGAAAAGAAATCATCCTTCAAATTTGGGAATTTGATTCGTATCTTGGTTGTGTTCGTCTTGGTGTTGCGAAGCTGTGAATATTTTACTCTTCACAGCATCAGTCTGATCTTTTATTTCATCAAACATGTAGAGTGTGACTCAAGTACTTCTGTTGTTGTCATTAATTAGGTTTTTTACTGTTCTTTCTTTTCTTTGATTTCAATTTTTTTTCTTAAGTTGTCTTTTTTTACTTAGAGTGCCAGTTTTTATGCTCTGGTCGCCACACAGAGGGGGATGTTCGGAAAGTTTCTATGTTCTGATCTGTTCGATTAAACCTTATCACAAACATGATCAGTAAATAGTAGGCTCTATTCTAATGAGGTTAATGGGGCTCTTGAGATTGAGGAGACGCAATCAACTACCTAAAAGAATCCCACTTTTGATATTTAGAGTCCCACTTTTGTTGTGGCTGTGATTTTTTTCGTACAAACTATATTGGAGACAAAAAAAGATTACTTGAATATTAAAGACTTGTGCCACAAGGCACATTCCCTTACGTTTATGGGTTCGATCATTCCACTTACACAATCAAAGAAACTTTGGACATCGAAAACTGTAATAAATTGTCTTTCAGTCAAATTTTTTATCACCAAGATCAGCAAGCCCCATTCTTAGTTTCCACTGATTCCAAGAGCGAACAACGCCCTCGAGCCAGTCTTTAGCATCAGAAGTAGAAGACATGGCTTTCTCATTCTTCAGCGCATCTCTGAGAGTCATGATGTGTTCCTCGACTTGTAACGCATCAGCATTCTCTTTCTTCCTCTCCAAGAAAACCTCATCAAGCTTTGTCTTCAACCAGTCCAGCTTGAAGCCCACCTCTGTAATCTCCATTAACTCGCTGCAAGCGTTAATTAGCTCAGTCTCGGTTAAGCTATGTGGAGATTTGTTCAATGCCTCGATGAGACGGAGGAGTTTGTTCATGTATGTTGTCTTCACCTGTTGGTTTTTTGGTTCGAAATTTTCTGCAATGTCCGGGTGACTCGTGAAAAGTTTAGTCACCGAAACAACCTGTCGACACGAGAAAGATGTTATTATGTTAAAACAAAATAAAATAAAGAAGACAGCAAGACGCATCCTTGCAATCATACCTGAGAATAAAGAACTTGGAAACCACGATATCTAACGTCTCATTCCCAGTTACTTCTGCTTCATCAACAGATTCAACTACTTTTATTTCCACTTTTATTATCAGTTTGTTATTCTCCAGAAACCCTTTTTCTTGAAGCTTTTTAAGAGGCACAGCCTTAGATCTGCCCCATCCTGAGAACTGGGCGCAGAACAATTCGCAAAAATCTGTAAGACATATTACATTTATGTGGCCTGAGAAAAAATTAAAAGATTAATTTAATCTTATTCTTCTTCAACAAGCAATTTGTGTATCTTACCATCTACTATGTAGAGCTCTTTGCCTGATTGGTTCAATAGAACGAATGAAATGTTGGAACTCAGTTTTTGACAAATGGCTCAAGTCAGTTTTTCGGCGATATTTCCGGTGAGCACAGTTACCGAAATGACCGGATTATGGATTTTTTGGATTCCTTGTAATAAGCACTAATGAACAGTGTAATTACTTGTCAAAATCGAAGTTAATTTGAATAAGAAATAAATGGTCAAAGTGGATATGTAATCAAAACTAAAAGTAGATGTGTATTTGTTATATATTGGAAGTATGAGGGTTATTATGCAAAACCCTAAAATTTTCTTTTTTGGAATAAATCTTTATTGACTTATTTAACAAAATTGTCAATATTACATTTATAATTTTATATAATATCGATAAATCTTTATTGACTGAGTCGAATTATTTTATGGAATATTTCCATTTCTCTTATCCTTGTCAAATAAGGAATACAAATTTTTAGAATATTTCTGTTTCCACTCTCAAACAAGGAATAAAGGTTTTCGGAACATTTCCGTTTTTCCTTAACCTTGTCGAACAAGGAACAAAGATATTCGGAATATTTCCGTTTATCTTTTGTAAGCAAAAAGGCAAATGCCTTGCGCCACAAGCCTCTCTTCCACTATAAATAAGGACCTTTCTCATTCATTATTCTTCATCCAGAAAAGCAATAAGCTTTCAAACACAAATATCCAGCAAATCCCTCTCGTCTCTACAGTCTTAGGTGAGTCTTGAGAGTATAGCGTAGAATTTTAAGTTCACAGATTCTATAGTCGGGTGCTGCGATTTTAGTCTCAACACGGTTGTATCCTGGGATTCTGAATCTCTTCAAACCGCCACACTGCGGGAGATTTAAAGAATTAAGGAAAGAGATCATATCTCGACTCCATGTTTTTTCGTCTCTTTTCTTAATCGTTTTATTCAATCGTTTTATACTATATTATTATTTATAGAGATTTCAATCGTTTTATATTCGTGATTTTCAATCTGGATTTTTGCGGTCCTACAATCTTAATTCTTTAAATCCGTTTCCTGCTAATCGCTTGAATCGGATTGAATATTGCGAACAATACTTCAAAAACAATTTCATAAAACGATTTTAAAACGTTTTCTGATCGATCTACAACGATTCTGCGATTGTCTTATAGCCAACCGTAGAACGTTTGATCTTAAAAACAGACGATTATCATAAAGACACAAAACAATTTCCGCGTCAGCCCTAGGCAGGATCGCGAAACGTTTGTCTATAAACGATCTTATAGATCTGAAACATAGCGTTTAAGAATACCTTTAGGTGATTTCTGGGAACGACTATTAGGGTTTAAGAACGCTTTTACGCGATTTCTGTGAACAAATTAATAGCGAATTAAACGTTTTTAATCGCTTTTCTGGATTGAGATCTCAAAAACTAACCTAGTTCGTTTTCTGTGATTAGATTCAGAATGTCTACTGACGTTGGACTTCCGAAGAACACAAGTGAGCCGACACTCCCACAAGGGAATGGTCTACCACACACGGTTCCATCGATTCCAACCGCTGGACTTCAACCTGAAAAGTTCGATGGAACAAACTTCAAGCAGTGGCAGATGTAGATGCACTTCTTTCTGTCCACGTTGCACCTGGCAAAGTATCTCACTGAGACTAAACCAATGCTTCCTGCTGAGAATACAGATCCGCACATGCTTGCTACTGTCCAAGCGTGGATCCATGCGGACTTCCTGTGCAAAGGTTACATCTTGAATAACCTTGCAGATCAGCTGTACGGCCTGTACAGTGAAGGTTATGAGACTTCCAGAGATGTCTGGATTGCTCTCGAAAACAAATACAAGACCTTCAACGTGAGTTCTGGAAAATTTGCAACTGCAAAACTCCTTAACTTCAGGATGGTAGATTCAAGGCCTCTTATGGATCAAGTGCATGAGCTGCAAACGATATTCCAGCAAATATCAGATGAAGGCATGAAGCTGTGTGAGACCTTCACAGTTAACTGCTTCATGGAGGTGCTGCCCCCAGGTTGGGACGGATTCAAGAGCTACCTCAACTACAAGCAGAAGCCTCTGTCGTTGGCTAACTTGATTACCAGGCTTCAGAATGAGTCATAAAAACGTGACAAGTCTGAACCACCTCAGACACATGACGCAAATGTGGCTGAGTTTAAGAAAAAGGGGAAAGGAAAGGGCTTTTCTCCAAAGGCTGCGATTCACAAAGTTGCAAATCAAGCCCCCTCAAACTTCAAGAAGCAAGCTCACGCTCCTAATAAGAAGTTCTATGGGAAGTGTAACCACTGCGGCAAGATGGGACATCGTGCTATAGACTGTCGCAGTAAGGCCAAGGGTGTTAACCAAGCTAACATAACTTAAGCTGATCTGTGCGCAGTTGTAACAGAAGCTAACATGGTTGAAGAAAACCCAAGGGCATGGTGGTACGATACTGGCGCTACCATACACATCTGCATTGATAGAGATATGTTCAACACCTATCAAAAGTGCAAAACTGATGAACATTTGTTGATGGGAAACGTGTCCCACTCCAAGATTGAAGGTACCGGAAAGGTGGTGCTGAAGATGACATCAGGAATGGAACTCGCGCTCTCAAACGTGAAGCATGTTCCAGACATGAGGAAGAATCTGATCTCTGGCACGCTGCTGAGCAAGCACGGATTTGCAATCAATTTCGAATCTGACCAGCTGATTCTTAGGAAGGATGGTGTTTTCATTGGAAAAGGATTTGTTAAGGAAGGATTGGTCAAAATGTGTGTAATGACCATCCTCAATAAAAACGATGTACTTGTTTCCAAAAATGATAAGAAGAAACCAGTTGCTTATTTGGTTGAGTCTTCTAATATTTGGCATGAAAGATTAGGACATGTGAATTATAAGTCTGTACAAAGGCTGATGAATTCGAACTTAATCCCCAAATGCAAAATTAGCAAAGACAAGTGTGAAGTTTGTGTACAATCAAAACTCACAAAAATGCCATCTCCTCATGTTGAAAGAACTACCGAACCTCTTGGCTTAATCCACACTGATTTGTGCGATTTAAAGTATATACAAACAAGGGGTGGCAAGAAGTACTTCGTGACTTTCATTGATGATTGCACAAGATACTGTTACGTCTACTTACTGCGAAGTAAAGACGAAGTCTTGGACAAATTCAAAGAGTACAAGCTCGAAGTTGAAAACCAACTGGGAAAAACCATTAAGATGGTTAGAAGTGATAGAGGAGGCGAGTATGATGGACCTTTCAACGCTTTCTGTCAAGAAAAAGGCATCATACATTAAACAACCGCTCCCTACTCACCAGAATCTAACGGAGTTGCAGAGAGAAAGAATCACACTCTGAAAGAGATGATGAATGCAATGTTGCAGGAATCTGGGACACCTCAGAATCTGTGGGGGGAAGCGCTGCTCACCACAAACTACATCCTCAACAAAATTCCACACAAGATTACTGGCAAAACGCCATATGAACTTTGGAAAGGAACTGTACCTTCGTACAAATACCTCGAAGTGTGGGGGTGCTTAGCAAAAGTCGCTGTGCCACCTCCTAAGAAGCTGACAATTGGGTCTAAAACGGTTGATTGCATCTTCATCGGATATGCACATAATAGTAGTGCTTATCGATTCCTAGTACATAAGTCAGATGTACCAGACATCCATGTCAACACGATAATGGAATCTAGGAATGTGTCTTTCTTTGAAAACATATTTCCATGCAAAGAAAAACAAAGTAAGAAACGCACTCATGATGAAAGAGACACTAGCATCTCTATAAATGAGGAGAGCACTTCTGGAATTTCAGTTGATGAAGCAGAAGATGAAGAAGATGAACCTAGACGTAGCAAGAGAGCACGCAAGGAAAAATCTTTTGGAGATGATTTCTTAATGGTATTTCTCAAAGAGAATGAGCCGAGATCATACACAGAAGCCATGTCTACACCTGATGCATCTTTCTGAAAAGAAGCAGTTAATAGTGAAATTGATTCTATAATGCAGAATCATACCTATGAGATCACTGATTTACCTCAAGGTTTCAAAGCGCTAGGGTGTAGATGGATATTCAAAACCAAGTTGAAAACTGATGGTTCAATTGAGAAGTACAAGGCCAGACTTGTGGTTCAAGGATTCAGACAAAAAGAAGGTCTAGATTTCTTCGATACCTATTCTCCAGTAACGAGAATAACTTCAATAAGAATTCTGATAGGAGTTACAGCCCTAAGAGGACTCGAAATCCATCAGATAGATGTAAAAACGGCCTTTCGAAATGGTGATCTAGAAGAGGAGATTTACATGAAGCAACCCGAAGGATTTGTGGTCCCGGGTCAAGAACACAAAGTCTGTAGACTTGTGAAGTCATTGTATGGTCTGAAACAAGCTCCAAAGCATTGGCATGAAAAGTTTGACTATGTAATGATGTCAAATAGTTTCATCATAAATGAGTGTGATAAGTGCATCTACATCAAAAGTACTCCTCACGGGTATATCTTGCTGTGTTTATACGTTGATGACATGCTCATCATGGG